TTGGTCGTTACAGGCAGGATTAGAGCCAGCCTCCTACTGAGTCTAAACTGCTTCGATGGGTTGTTGAACACCTACATTACATTTTTTAAAAGGAAGAGAAGGAACGTATTAAGGACCACGCGCACACTGAACGTCAACAGATCAACATAATTTAATACGTGTATGCGCCCCAGATACAGATCCCCCCCAAAACAAATAAACAAACAAATAAAACCCACCCAACAACGACAAACAACAACAAACAAAAATAGTTGAGGTAATCAGCCCCAAATTTTCATACTTTGTTCTTCAAATGCTGGATCTGAACAGACATCGGCCTTCAAGGCTCTCTACTTATTTTTCAGTTCGGATGCTCTAATTAAATACCAAAAAAAAAAAAAAAAAAAAAAATAAAAACACCTGTAACGATAACCTGTTTTTTTCCCCATCGCCCATTTGTTCCAAGTTCTCTGAGACTCTAAATAAATTATTCTTGGTCTTCCTCTCTCTCTTTTGCGTGTGAGGGCAAGATGTTCAAGGTTCCCCCAGCCAAAGGCATCAACCATTAAAAATATTTACGTTCCTTTGTCGGTTAAGAAGTAAATTAAATCCCCTGATCCCTCTACTGGTTAGCGTCTGGTATTTTCTTTAACTGGATAAATAATATTATGAAAGCTGAAATGAAACAAATTCAAGATAGTTTTTCCAATCATAATTTAAACAACACCATTTCGGTTGTTGTTTTTTTCTGCTTATGATTGATGCAAAATTTTGAAAAAGGAAAATAAAACCCAGCACCAGATACAAAATAATAAAAACAAAACAACCCATTACCCCCCCCCCCCCCGAAAAAAAACCACCAGCAGAAAATAAACAACTAAACCCTAGAGGATAAAAATCCAACAATTTCTCTGTCTCTCATGGCAATTCGTTTGGCCTTTGTTTCTTGAACTAAATGCGCACTCAACTGTTATTTCTCTAGATCACGATAGAGTTTTTGGGAATTTATTGTCTCTAAATACCACTGTTGTGCAATATCTTTTGTGCGTTCCACTCGATGCCACAGAAACATGTTGCTATGATCAATGTGCTTGTTTGATTCGTTATAATAAGCAATCGATCCCTGTTGTAAAGTTTTGTTTGTTTCTTCTTCTGATAACTCGATTTGGACAAGTATCGATTCTAATTACATCTACTTGATACCGACAACATTTCACGGTATGAGCAAAGATAGTACATAACAAGATAGGCCATTCAGCCAAAAAAGTGTCCGCCGGAAGTTCGCTCTTTTCTTCAGATGGCGCTGCAGTCTGTTTTGAAGCTCTCTTTCGTTTTTCCAGAAGAAGAATAGGAATAGCACCTCCTTGCCTGCGCAGATCGAATGATGTTCATCAGCAGTTCGGGTTCGTTCAGTGTGAAGTTTTAGTTTTTTAAATATTTTAATGACCTCTCGCCTGTCATTCTAAAGTCAAATTAAACGAAGAAAACAATCACCCCTTCCTCCGGCAGAGGTCTTTTCTGTCAGTGTAACCATTTTAAAAAAAGCGCTCTTCCGAAATTTATTCAAAACTTGCTAGTTTCATTTTGATTTTTAAAACTCAAGTAGGGTAAATCTGTTCGCAAAGGGTGTGCATTTGTGAAGAGGGCGCCACCGAATTTTGAGGACACTTTTTTAATTGGCTCAAAGAGAGAAGTGGCCCCTCTTGTTATGTAGACTCTTTGGTATGAGTGGGTATTCCGCTACCTCAGAATTACAAAGTTCTATCCTACATTTTTGGCTGTTTTCACTTACTAAGACCATGAGACCAGAAACCGAATGTTCTACCGGTTCTATTATATCGTAAGATTATTCGGAGTCGTTATCAAGGTATTAAATGGAATGCATTCGAAAATACTTGACATGATGTGAAACACAAAGTCTTTGACGTCAAAAATTCTAAAAACTAGGTAGGCTACTAAGCAGTTTGTAATTTTGAGGTAACGATTAGGAATTATGCTTCTTAAAACATTAAAGTTAAAGTCTCATTCATATTCAAGGCTACAACTGTGTTTGAAGTACTGTGATGTAAACTATGGTAGAAGCATTTGTTTTATAGAAAGAACAGACTTCCAACACACATACGTCCTTAGGTTCACTACTTGGTCTATGACGGTTTTGCAAGACGTGTCTATTTTTTCATTTTTAACGCTTCTTTTCTTTACCCTCCTCCTCCTCCTTCCTCCTGTTGTTGTTGTTGTTATTGTAGTTGTTGTTCTTGTTGTTCTTCTTCTTATGCCATCATCACCAAAGTTATTATTTTAATTATTCTAACTCTAAAACTGTTACATCAATCTTAATTAAAGCTGGAATCGACTCCATGAAACGTACTCGGTATCGCCAAACCTCCGTGAAAATATACCGTCAGCGAGAACATGACGTCACAGCCGTCCTATCGCTCCCATCTGTCGCTGTGCTGCTCGCCTGACATGCCAGCTCTGGGATATTTACTGCCAAACGGTGACAGCTTTGAAGCATGGGCCTTAAGCAGATAACGCATTTCTTGAACTGAAGCAACATTTCGTTGTTTCAAGTTTTGATGTTTCTTAAAAAGAAAGAACATGTCGTTGTTTCAAGCTTTGGTATTTTTTAAAAAGAAAGAACATGTCGTTGTTTCAAGCTTTTGTATTTAAAAAAAAGAAAGAACATGTCGCTGTTTCAAGTTTTGATATTAAAAAAAAAGAGAGAACATGTCGCTTTTTCAAGTTTTGATATTTCTTAAAAAGAAAGAACACTTCGTTGTTTCAAGTTGTGAAACCAAGCTGCCGGTGCTTCAGTTTTCATATTGAATAATAAATTATAACCAATTAGAGAAGATAGCACAAGTACACATTGCTTTACAGAGTTTGCATGTCAAGCTGGTTATAATTTAGCTTTATCTGTCGAGGTCAGGTTATCCTATTCTCTTGCTTTGCCTTAGGGAAGAGACATTTTTCATGGTGATTGAAGGTTTTGATAGAGAGGGAGAGAGAGAGAGAGAGAGAGAGAGAGAGAGGCA